AAAGGAGTTGGGATCGCCGATGAAGCAGCACCATATGTCTGCACATCTTACTGAAACTCAGATTTTCTGCTTTGTGTCATGAGGAAGCGGAGCTTAGGCCACAGCCTGGGCTGTTCAGCCAAAACTTCTCTCTGTCCCTGTGTGGTTCATGAAGCTGTCAGCCCTTTTCAGCCATTTGGTCTGAGCGTGTCAGGCTTAATGACAGTCACGTTACATGAGAACTGTACACGTAGATAGGCTCAAACAAGAGACCCATGTGAGTGTTCCTACTGAAACCCTATAGTGTGGCACAAGCAACAGCTGTGTTGGGCTCTGAGTGACCACTCACTGCCTAAGTACCAGCTGGCTAACCCACACTTTCCCCAGCTGGTAGTTTGAAGACGACAGAGGGAGCTGAAGATAACGTGGGAGGTCAGGGAGATGCCAGGCTTTGTTATTTCTGTTGCTCACAGAGTGTCTTTTAATGTTCCTCATCCCACCTTCATCCCAAGTACACTGGTAAAATACACGCAAAGTACCTTTAGCTCGTCCATATGGGTAGCACAGATCTCAGTAGTGCTATTCTGTAACTAACATCGAGTTGAATTTGTTTCAGAAATTCTGTTGCATAACTAATCCTGTGCCCCCTGAAGTCACAGTAGCCCATTGGCATAATTATTTATATTGCTTCCAAGGGGGTTAGTAATACTGCCAAGTCGAAGCGGATGATCAGGGCATTTTGTACACATTCTTTGTTGTGTGTTTAAGATGCAAGACAGCAAAGAAGCAAGGCCTGCATCTTCTCTGTTTCATGCCATTAAGAACGTGTTTTCTGGAAAAGAATAATGCTGGAAAGAGTTGCTGGACGTCAGCAAGCAGGTCTCTTCAGCAACAAAGTCTCTGTGGAGTCTCAGGAGCCACCTCTCATCTCATTTGGACTAAATGAGAAAAGCAACTAGGCTCCCTTTGCAGAGCTGAAGAAGCCTCTGCACATGCCACCGGACTGCAGAGAGAAGCCTCTCTGAATGACCCTGGGCAAAGGGTGATGGAGCATCAGTTGGTATCTGAACTTCAAAAGCAGGAGACTCAGAAGAGGATCTGGCAGCTTAGCCTTCAGAGGGAACAGAGATCAAGAGTCTTGACGTGCAGAATGCTTTGCAAATCTGGGTTGGATTTCTGCACGAAGAGCCATCCTTCTTTTTGTTACCATTATGCTCAGGAAACAAAATGGTCTGTACGATGTTTGTGAATGGAAATATATGGCTCATATCTCAATGGTAACCTGCAAGGTAGAACTGCAGTTTTGATGCGATACAGATTGTGATCCGGGAGGCTTTGTTGCTGTTAACTCAGGACTGTTCCTGGTTGGAACAGTCTTGGTGGAGTGTATGCTCCTGGCTCCTCCACCACTGATGTTATAAGACCTACGACATAAGGAGCGACTTTGCTTTAATTTGTCTGCTAATCTTAGTGCCTGCTCTGGTCTTTGTTTTCATTTACTCTGGAGCACTGTTGCCCTTTGAAAATATTTTGCTGTGATTTAGCTTTCTAAATAAATTCCTCAGGAATTAAGAAATGCATTGATGACAGGCAAAGCTTATACAGTGGAAGTGGGACTGTTTTATTGTCATAACCCATTCAAGCCCTTTCTTTCAACTGGGATGGCCTATTTGCCTTCATGAGATATTGTACTACAGGTCAGATTTTAGATAGTATTTTCCCATAGCATTCATAAATGTCAGCCCCCCAGTGGAAAAGAAGGAAGACTGATCAAAAAAATCTGAAGCTCTCTCCTCCTAACCACAAGGCAAAATGCCACAGAAAGGCATATTTTTATTGATTTTTAATCTTGAAAGAATTATGACATTTATTTTTTGTTTATTACGCTCAATGGGATGGAAAGAGATTGAGAATCACTGATGCAAATGAGGGAAAAATACATACTGAAAACAGGCAGTTTGGGCACTGCTACCAGGCTTGCAATGTGTAGCGATGTTTGAAAAGTGAACCTGAGAAGCTGAGTAACCACACCAGTTGTTAGCTCTTCCCAAGCTCTGATGTTCTAACAGCTCTGCTGCTGTTAGTATTTCAACCAGCTCAGGTATGTCTATTTATCAAACTGCAATCACACCCCTGGATGATAGCACTGACATGCCCACAGATGATAGCAGCTCTGGTATTTGGAGTGAAATAGTTTTGGCACCCAGCAACAAGAGAATTCCTTAATATATCCCTGCTGATACCACGAGTGCGTCGGCACATACACAGGGACCTCACATGGAGCGACAGCGAGGACTGGAGCTTGATGGAGCACTATAAGAAAAACAGGACTGTTTTTTCATCTCTCCAGTTCTGTCTCTTAACTCCAGTGAAAACTACGTTATTCATAAAACTAAGTCACACAGTGTCTCAAATCCAAACAGGTCTGTAATTTTCTCCCCAGAAAGTGCCTAGCTAATTAACTGAGAATACAATTAGTTTTGAGTCAACATCTTTGTAAGCCTTAGCTGGACCGTGGTACATGGCTTACTGGCTAGCAATAAATGCTGTTCCTTCACCTGCACAGCATGCAATACTTGATGCAGTAAAGTTAGTGCGTCTTAAACATCATCAGCCTTTGTGCTGTCTTTGTTACTGACTAACCATGTGATCTATCAGTTGGCCTTGAAGACCATGGATATGTAGATTATATCTATTTTGGGAACCTGAGGAGCATTTCTGAGCAGTCAGGTCTGAGCGAGAGTCTCAGCTGCTTTCCAGCTCCGTGTAGGAGAGAGCCCTCAGGTTGCACCACTTCCCCGCTACAGGTACGCACACAGGTGTACGGCCCAAATGGGACCTGCAGTGCGTTTCAGACAGGTGCGTGATCTCAGTTGCTGGGGGACCAGGACCTAAGCTGTGTCTTACCACACCCTAAGTGGGCAGTGTAGACACAGCCAAAGCTGAATTACCACGGGTCAGCTGAGCTGCAGTAACCGACGTGGGACGTTAGCATGAACTTCGGTGGAAGAAGTTTCTATGAAGTTTCTTTCATTTGGGTTGGGCTAAAAGCCACTCAGATAATTAGTTGCTGCAGCTCAACTTACATGGGAGATCTCGTGTACCTGCATAAGCTTGGAAATAACAAAAGCCAGAGTGTGCAGACAAAAGTATGGAAGACTGCAGTGAGCATGTAAGATTCTGAACTGTATCAGGTCTCACTTTCCTTGTGCAATGTGGTCCTTGGTTATGCCACGCTTCTGTTGAGATGTGTCCATCAAGGTGGTCTAGCCAACTAACTGAAGATAGCCAGACATAAAGGAAATGCTAGATGGTAAGGGGAGTGATGTGATCTGGCCTGGCTGTGGTGGCACAGTAGTTTCGAGAAGCTATCACAGATGGTTACAGCTTAGAAAAGAATTAAGGCTGCGTATAAAAAATGCCATAGACGTTCCTATCGTAAGGATTTAGACCAGGTTTTCACCAGCATGGCCAAGCCTTTCTCATATCATATCTTCATTAGGACTGAGAAGTGGTTGCTGTAAATGTCCCCTGAAACATGGCAAATACTTTGATGATAAAATTCAGTGGCTGTTGCCATAGACTTAAAATAATTCATGTTGCTTTTCAAAGTGGATTAAATAGTTTCCACAGTCACAAGACTGTGCCCAAAGCCCACAGCAGCTTTCAGCAATGACTTTTTCCCCAGAGCAGAGCCTGAACTAGCTCTAAATTAGCACGTGTGTAAAGCAAGAACGGCTAGGCTGACTGTCCTTGTAATTAAAGTGATAGTGTATGGAAATTGGCTTGCCCATGCTCAGATTGTTCGAACAGAAATACTCAACATAAGAGAGTCCTCCAGAACAAGAAAGTCTGCATGCCAGTGATGAGAGACCGTGTGAATCATCGCTGTTCACAACATACTACAAGGCCGGCCAGCACAGTCCTACTGCTCTGCTGTTTCTATGCCATGTTACTTGCCGAAGATCTCCAAATAATTCCTCGTTTGTTAAAATGGAACTACGGCACTAATTTAAGGAAAGGTTTTTTCACTGCCCGTCACTGCAAGATCTCCTAAGACTCCATTTAAATCAGGGGTGGTGGGAGGATGAGCAGCAGCAGCAGCTATTTTGGAACTAGTGGTTAATGACTGATTTCTTCCTGCAGTCAAACACCGCGCTGTAAGTTTTTGAAGTAATGCTAATATACAAAAAAGAAAAGGTTACAAGTACACTACATGGCAGATGCACACAGGATGATCCTCTTTGGTTTGGTATCAAAAAAAGTTTTACACAATATTTTGCTAAAAGAAATTTATGTTAGAATATAGAAAAACAAGTCAATATGAAAGGACTACATTTTCCCAACTGCTATTCGTTTGTCAAAAAATATGTACAAAATGTATTCAATTCTTCATTAATCCTGCATGAAAAAAAAAAGTATGCTTGTGTGTGGATTTTATATATTCAGGAATATGTTGGCTAAGGTTAATAAATTATTAATTTATAATTATTAAAGTATGAGCACCAATATGAAAGCACGAGCATCTTTAAACTGAATCAGAATTTGTTTTTACAATATAACCAATATGTTTCAAAATATTGATAACCAAGAAAAGCTCTAAAAACATGAAGTTAGTATTTGACTAAGGATCTCTCTGGAAACTTAAAAGTTCCCTTGGAAGCTCTCATTTTACAGCTTCCATTTAAAAAATTTATACTCAAGTCCAAACTTGTGAATAATTTTATGGGAGTAACACTAAAAAGAAAATAAGAAATTATAACAAACAAACCCCAACTAGCATGGCTATTATGAGCAATCATCCAAAAGATATATATCTCTCTAGAAACTACAGAAGTACTTATCTAAACACTCTTGAATGCTTCTCATGAAACAGTAGCAACAAAAATAATGCCAGCAAGCATTTCTAAATAAACAAGCAATTTTTTTTAGGGATTGGGGTTTAGGTTTTTGGTTTGTTTTTTTTTTTTTCATTTTTAATAATCTCGACCTAGAAATAAGCCAAGGCAAAGGTCACTTACCTCTTACGTGGACTAGAAGAAAGCCAAGGCACAAAAGAAGGATACTTCTGAATTTCCCCATGGTCTTCTATGCAGTGCCTTGATTGCACTGGTGTTTTTTTTTCCAAGCGATGACGGTAGATGTTGCAACTGCAGTGCCAAGGTTTGAGGGAGACGCTTGGAATCAGCGGCTCTGTCCAAAGAGTTCCCTCACCATCACACTCTACCTGAGTGAGAAGAGAGAGAAGTCCCTAAAAACCTCTTCTAGTACAAGACAAGTAACGAAAGCAGATGACCCCTCTACGGCCAAGCCGTGAGCAGCACCGTAGGTGCCACCCGCCCTCTAAGAAATCTATTTATCGCCCAGGCAGGGAGTGTGGAGAGCCGGGGAACCAGCGGCAGCACCCAATGAGGAGGGAGCCAACACGCCCTGAATCCACCTCCTTCCCAGAGGGAAAGCCAACCTGTTTGACATCCTCGCCTTCAAAGCAGGGTGCGGTGCTGCGGGAGCTCAAGTAGCTTGTGAGAGGAGACCGGCCTTCTCTGAAGCGTACTTGAAAAAAACTCTCTCAGATATACTCTGTCCTCAAAGCCTTCCTGCTCAGTTTTTCGCTGAGCAATAACTGCTGATAAAGGCAATCCTGTCAGAGTCCTAACCGCTAACTCAAGCCACCGAGTGAGGGAATCTGCTTTGCAGAGACTTGGGAATTGTCTACAGGGGGATGACAAAACCCCCTAATTTTGTAAACTTGAAATGTGATGTCAGACTACTGAACTGGAGCATGCTTAGCTCCCTGGCGGATGCTTATCTTTACAAGGTAAACGTTGTCTGTCATGATTTTTCCATTGGTCTAGATAATTTTTAAACATAAATATCCATGCATATCCTACATGGGGAGAGATCTTAGATAGTGCCGAGTGCGAGAACACAAAGCTTTGGAAAATGAACAAAAATCATGCATCCATCTATACATGAACATACTTTAAAATCACTGATGTGATTTAAATCCAGTTTTGTCATAGCCTCTCTCTAGCAGACGTGTGCCGGTGCACTTGTCTGTTGAACTGGACTGCCACCACCACACTGGCGCCCGGCGCCAGCAATGAGGCTGGTGTGCGTCCTCCCTTTTGCTGGGGGGCAAGCTGCAGGCGTTTTTGTCAGCGCTGTTTTGACCAGGGCAGCAAATACTGTGCTACCATGAATAGCCGATCCATACGCTCGTGGTGTTGCTGGGTGATCCGGTCTGATGTGGAGCACAGCTGGCCCCAAGTGCATTTCTGTTGAGTTACCTAGAACACATGATACAGTGTGTGCACTGAATTCGTGCTTTCATGCTAACTACAAGAAAACTGAGGCAACAACATAAACTGGACTGATAAAACCCGGTGATATTGGATCTTCAAGAAGCTTGATGTTCAAGTAGGTTAGCTCCCCCCCCCCCCAGTTTGAACCAGTAGAATGGTTTCTGAAGGCCTGGCTTATTGTATCACACGGCTTAACTGTTTTTAGGCTAGTAATGGAAACTCTAAAGCTCAATTTACGTATCGACATTCTCCTTGTCAGGGCCAATTGCTCAATTTCAGAAGAGTTAAGGACATTTAGGTTTGAGAGGTGACTTTGTCAACCAGTGAAAACAGGAATTATACCATGACATAAGCAATCCCGTAAGTCTACTGTTTATTTTTTCCAGAATAACAAAAGCAGGCACACATGTGCTAATCTTTATATCAGTGATGAATTTGCCTGAAGGGAACAGGAAAGTTAGCAAGGCTACGTACTAGTCCCAGGCAAGCCCAAGCAGCTCACAAACATTCAGTAGCTTTACTTCAAAACAGTTGTTCCTGTAAGTGAAGTCTTCCCAAAATGCTTTAGCTCGTCTGTCTGCCGACACTAGTTCATTGGGATATTGAAGATTCTTAAGTTTGAAGACGATGCACCCCTTGTCTAGTTCCTCTGAAGCCAGCTACGGCTCTGTCTAGCTAAATAAAAACAATATGAAGAAGGCACAGGAAGGGGAAGCTGAAGGAGTGGACCTAGCATTGGAGTCGGGATGTCTCAAATACTTATCCCACTTCTATTCTTGGGGCATTGCAGGAACTTCTTAATCTCAGCTCCCTCTGTTGAAGACGGGCAAGTGATTGCCCGAGATGTCAAGTAAACAATATTATAGATTAAAAACAAATATAAGGCCTTACACCTGACCATAAACTGTAGTTTTATCACTTTAAGAAACCATTGACTCATCTTTTTCTATTTAAAGGGAAAACAAAGTTCTGCCTAATATTCAGCTGACAAGGTGGATGACTTGTTTTTTTTTACTTGTTCTTTCAAGAAAAAAACATATTTCAGAAATAGCAAATGGGTGGAGAAACGGAGCCTGTGTGTCTATTCTCTACACCACATACTTTTAGCCCATCAGGCCTCTTTTAGATGAGACAAGCTAAAAGAGAAGAAGAGGACAGTCACAACTCGCCACAGGTGCAGCCCCACCCTTCCTGTGGGCAGAGGTTAGACTTTGCTCTCTGGCACGGGTGACCTGCTGTATGAGTCTATCGGAGATGAAAGAACGAGATTACACACTCGAACTACTGGGGAAAGCCACTAATATCCTACAGTATTCGTCTTTTGTTATAAAAATGGAAGTATTTTAATTAACATATCGAAACATCTGGTAATATTAGACATTAATCTAAATATAAGCCAAATACACAAGTGAATCAGTGATACAGTTTCTTGGCGATGGAAGAATACAATTACTACACACTAGCTAAAACTTCAGTGGTTTTTCACAAGCAGATGGAGGAACGTGCATTTAGTATTTCATCCTTGTGGTTCTTAAAGTACTCCAAATGCAGGGATTTGAAAAAACTCTTTTTGCTCCATTCAAGTCCTTTTCCTATTCCTAATCATCTCTTCACTTTCCTTCATATGTGTCTTTTATATCTGCGTAACAGAAAAGAGCAAAAAGAAAATAATCTTTTCAGTTTATGAAAAGGTTAAGGTTTGTTTCATAATCTTGTCAAGTGAAAAACACACAGAGAATAGCACAGCTTAGATAGTGGCCTAAAATAATCAGCGAGAAAAATACCGAAATGCACAAGTGGGAGTGTAATTCAGCCCAAGGTACGCTGAAAGCTGAGTGCACTAAAAGGAGTTTTCCTTAGCGTTCAAAATTGGGCACAGATATTGAAATGAGCATGAGTAGGAGCTACAGTAAAAAGCTGCCAAATTTTACACTCAAGAATCGCCTACTTTCATTTCCACAGCCTGATGAATTCGTTTGGATAAGTTTAGGTAAGTATGTGAAATGGACATCGCATTTGGAAACCGTCAAAACATTTTTCAGGCAGTCCTTTTCACTGATAGTTAGGGTGAATTAAACTGCCACCTCAGCTCCCTCGTAGAAGCTAAAGTGACATGATATTCTACAAGAAGAAGATCCTGCTTTGCTTTTTTCCTCCTATTACTGAAGGTAACTCCTCCTCCTCAAAGGAGGTAGAGTGGAGGAAAAACAGAACTGAAGAGGGTGTGCCACAGGAACAGGACAGAGCTCCTCGTTGCCATCCATTTAAACTCGGTTTAATGGTGAAGGTACCTCACCACGAATGAACTTGCAGTTCGGGCCTGGACAGGACAGTAATTTTTCACCCCACTGCAGTGCCTGATCAAAACCTGTATGGAAACTAGAACGTTAATTCCCAAATTGGGATCTGACTGACAGCCCGTAGGGCCATGATGGGCAGCAGCTGATCCGTGGGAGAGGACCATAAAAATACTTCAGTAGGGTGATGAATAATTGCGATCGTGTTTCTTGACCCAATGAACGTGAGAACTAATGAAGCGGGATATTTAGTTACGCAATGGCAAGAGCAGTTGAGCTAGGAAGGCACAAGATCAAAGTCTCAATGGGTAGCGAGGCAAATAGCAATGTAGCAATTAATACCCTGGTAACTGAAAAATAAGCAAACTGCTATGTTTTATCCACAAGTAAGTTACAGGAAACCCATAAATTGGCTGTTTCTTGCTCACTACAGAAGATCAGCCTGAAATTCCAAGCCTTCTCTTTAACCTTTTCTTCCTAGGTGGCAGCAGCCAGTCCTTCTTCCTTCCCAACACAAACACTGTTAAGTTTGCCCATACTAAGCCTTCTCTTGCTGTGCATATTTTAGCAGATTCTGTGTTACCAAATCCAGGCGTCCTTCACCAAGACAGATGTCTTCTCTGCACTTCGCACTAGTAAGCACCCTGTGAAAGCAGCTCACAGCTTTGTTGCTACTGGCCAACTTCCTTCTAAAAAGGTTAAAGTGTCTGTAAGAAATAAACCTGAATTGCTGACGGAGCAGGAAGACAAACTCCTTTTGAAGACTGCTTCTCTGGTAAAGCACCAAAATTTTTCTATTTCTAGAGCTACTAAGAAGGAAAAATACATAAACATTTTCTTTTTTTTTTAAATTTATTTTTAGAAAAATCACAATGTTGATAGGAGGTTTTAATAAGTAACTTTTAGGCTTGCAAAGGCTGAAGGAGGAGTCAAGAGTCTGGTTAGCTAAAAGCTAGCGTGAGCTTCCCCTGCCATTCTATCCCTAACAAACACTGGCTTATTTCTGTTTTCTCTACACTTGGCATTGATATGAGATACCTGTTTATTCATGCAGGTAAGCAGTACATTTCATTTCTTTGATTTTTATTTAAACATTTGATCTATGTAAATAAAATTTTCCACCCTCAGACACGCTTCAAGATTTTAGCACTTTTATACTAAAAGCAGAAGTGGGGCAAAAAGAGGTTTACAAATTAATTCCATAACAAAGTACTAAAATCTATGTAAAGCTTTGTTGCAAGCTAAGAAACATGTACAAGAAATTCTTAAATGAATTATCCTTGGCATACATTCATATTTGAATGCACAGATATATTTACATGTTTAATATCCAAATTCATAATGACTTCTAAGATGGTCCATGAAATGTCATCTTTCTGTAGAACTTTGCCAGGTGGCTGAAGCACATTAGTAAGACACGTATTGTAAAACTGCATGAAAATTGGAAACAATTAGAATGAAAGCCAACAGAACCGGTCAGACTATTCTTTCCAGACAGAACTAGTTATTATTCCAGACTCAGTCCTTTAACTGCTATGAGCTGCACAGTTTTCCATATTTCCACAGATCCTCGAAACCTTCCTGTGGCTTTCAAGAGCCACAGCAAAGCTCACAAACGCTTTCAGTTGAGGATGCAGTCACAGGTCCCCATCCTGATGGCAATCCTTCACAAGTCCAAAAGCATTCTTCACACGTATGCTATTTGTGCTGTTCAATGGATGCTCGTGGAGTGAGGCTGGTTGTTCTGGTCAGTCTTGCCATTATGTACTTTCGAATTGTAGTACTGTTTCTGTCTTTTAAGTGCGTATGACAAGCCCTCCGAATTCAAAGTATCACATTATTTTCTGTTAAGTTTTTGGTTATGGAAGTCTGAAGATGTTAATCCCCACTCCCCAATACTTCATCCACAACTGTTCAGACAACTGCCAAACATCAATCTCGCCAGATGTACGAAATCCAATTATGGTTCTGATTTGCAAATCAGGCTTTTCCACATCTGACCAGCTCAGTACTTGCTAAGCAGGAAGAGCCAGAAAGGATGAAGGGTCTGCGTGCACCAGTTTGGGTGTTCTGAATCTGTACCAGACAGATGCAATGAAAAAAATGCAGAAACAAAACTCTGAATTTTTGTCTCTTGGATGCTCAAGAACAAGAATCTCTTCCCTGGTGGCCGACCCAGGCAGCTACACAGATCGTATCGGCAGCACCCACACCCGGATCCATTATCCACACACAGCGAGCCATTTGCTTTCAGGTGCCCACACCATATACCAAGTTGTTTGGTCGGTACGCTCACTGCGTACAGGATATTAGAAAAATGTTTGCACTGCCTGAAAGCAATGGTGTAACAAAACATTAATTGCTTATTGTTTTTGGAGAGGTAAGGAAAAGTTAAACATACTGAATGCACTTGAGACACACCCATTTGTCACAGGAGTACAGGAAAGAATGTAAAGGCACAACATACTTCTACACTCCTGTCATTAAGGCCATATACTGGTGTGCAACAATGCTTCACAGGGCTAACTATACAGAAGTACTCAGGCCTAAGTCACACTCCCAGAGGTGTTTCAAACGAGAACTGTTTTCTCATGCAACTTCAGACTCTGCTTTTTTATTATGCTTTTTTTGTTTCCTTTTTTTTTTTTTCCAGGCAGAATGCAGGCTCTCTATCCAGTTTCAATGGTCTGTTCTTCATGTTTTCTTCAATTTAGTTCTCCAGAAGCGTGCGCTGAACTAAAAAGTGAAGAACAACTCAGGATTAGCACACTAAGTTAGTATACATTTTAAGTTATGTATTACTATGTAACAATATATGTGGACAACAGACTTTTTCGGTAGGCATTTGAAACTGTGGGATAAATTCAGGTAAGCAGAGGCTTGATTCTGTGTAGCCAGTGCCCTGCATACCAAGGGATATTACATCCCAGATTTCTCACTCAAATAAGGACATCCTACCAGATCCCTGTAGCTATCTACACTTGCAGTATAACCCAACATGCGGTTTCAGACTTGCAGTTTTGTGGATGCAAAAACAAAATGGAGTACAGTCTGCATAGCTGATGGAAAAAGCGGGTTATTGAAAGAAAGTGCTAGCCTAGGTTATCTACATTTTCAGGAAGTCAAAGATAAGTCTACGTAAAATTTTAAAAACGCAAACCTGTTCTGCCATGCCATCTGACCTGGCTTAATGCAAGGCTGCTTCTAGCTAGAAGCCATGTAGGTACATCAGCACTGTATTACCAAAAGCACAGCTAATGTCTGCTGACTCCCAGAACTTAGATCAGGACTAGCACCATGCTGACCATGGTTGCCCAGTTTCTTGGCTCAAAACATGCTCATGCTTGCCTGCAAAATGTAACAGAGGTATGAAATTTGGGATTTAACATGACGTCAATATGTAGGCAGGAGTAATCATTTACGATAACATCCCAGGTTTGACTTCATCGGTTAAAATAAAGTATGCATCATCTGATGCATTTCACACCCGAGTTCTCGTGACTCTTTGCCAAAATTTTAGCATATCCTGACTCCAACTCGTAAGTTAACTGCCTTTGGTAGAGGTCTTTGAACAATGCTGCTTGCTTCACTAACACATAGCTGAATTGAGGATACCTGCCTATCTCCAGTCCTGACCTCAACAGCCAGTCACAAGAAAATGTTTTCTCCTTGAGAGTTTTATATATTTAACAGCTTAAAGGAAAAATGTTTATGAAGAGGATCATGAGCCAGATGGAAGTTTTTAGCAAACTGATGAAATACCTGAAAGAAGTAAGGTATAAACATTTTTTTGTTAAATTATAAAAACCCAGAACTAGTTCTGCAGGTTTTAGATTAAGCTCACAGAAGAATATATTGCAAATTTATACTGCTTTGAGATTTTAATATTCAGTGTTTCAAAGACACTCAGCAAACTTCAGCATGAGGGTGTACCGCTTCTTCCTTTGTTGACCAGTCACAAGGGATAGAAGGCCAAGTTTTCACCTACACTGTTTCCTCCAGATCTATCTATGGCTTTCCTGGAAATAATCACCTGTTCCACCAGCCAAGTACCCTAGACAACCATACCTGGAATGGTGAGGTGGTTAGGGTTTTTGTTGCTTTAAGAGAGATCCTTCTGCAGCTATCACCATTGGAAAAAGATTTGTTATTTGATGATTCCTTCATACAAGGATCATTCTCGGTTCACAACAGAGAATGTTTTAGTTACAAAACATGCTAGCAAGTTCAGTCCTCCTTGCCTCCAGTGTAGTTTCATCTCTGCCCAAACACTATTAACATTTTTTAACATGCATTCTTGCGGAGTCCTATATGGGTTTACAATCAAAAAAGGTATCAGATTCCAATCAGACACAACTAATAAAACACCTGTCAGCTAATTGCAGTTACGTATCACACTAAAGGAGCAGGTTTGTGTTTTCATAATTGTCTTCAACAATACTTTTGCAGAGAATATTCAATTCTTTACTTTCTCTAAGCTGCTGTATTTCAAGGACTCCTCAAGGCAATAAACCAATCTGTTCAAAGAATAAAAAACTAGAGAAGAGTGGCCATATTATCGGAACTGAAATCTTGACTCAGTTCTAAGTTAGTTATCATGGTAGTTATGAACATTTTTTTTTAAACAAAACAGTGCAAGTAATTTTTTTCCACTATGTTAGACATCAATAAAGTGCATTTAATAGGATCCCCACCAAAAAGGTGATCTTCCATCTAGATTCTTCTCTTACCAGGTGGCTCAGATTGTGCTCCCCGATGGCTTTCCATATTCACATTCTCTTCATCTGCTAGGAAACAAAGACGTTCAAATTCTCTTATCTTCAAAGTTGTTGATTAATAGAGATAATTTGAGAGAAGAAACAGCACTGAAGAAACTGGGCTACTGATAGTAGTTGAGTTTCCCTTGAGTTGCCTGCATGCTAATTTTAACGTGCATGGTAGATGTTACTCGGTTTCCAAACTTCCCAAATTACAAAACAGCAGCGCCTGGCTGGATTGCTGCTCTGTCATCTCCCTTCACCAACCAGTCAGAGAGACTAGAAAGGACAAAAACAAAGCGTCTGCCCCACCTAGCACCCACAGTACTCCTCAAGTTCTCTGATCCAGGTTATATCTTATGTAGGTGGAAAGGAAGTAGATAGCAAGCAATAGATGACTGCAGAAGAAAGAATCATTTGGGGATGAACATCCGGATAGTTGTCAGAAACCTAGTATGTAGGCAAGTATCTTGTGAAGACACAAAGGCAAGATTTACAAAATTAGAAATGACAAGGTATTTTCCAGCATAAAAATAGTGTCTAATCCCCAACCTCCACTCAATTTTCCTTAAGGAAATGTCTTCTTGCAGTCTCTCCTTCTTACTCTTTAGCAGGAAGCGCTTTTATTTTAAGAAATGCAAAGCCTTAAGTCTGTCTGCTTCTGAAAGTCTAAATTTTGGGTGAGGCATTCTTCAGACACCCTGTCTTAGATGACTAGTAGGAGAGGTTACTCCCTGTGAACACAAATTCACTGTGCTATTAAAACTACTTTATGCATAAGATCGATTTCTAGCCCCCATATAAATACAAAACCGCATCTCTTGAGACAGTAGAAAACAAAACTAATTTAGAATTCTTACCGCTTTGTTTGAAACAGAGTTTCTTCTTCTGGTAAGCAATGAAACTAGATACTGCTCCAATTACAGTAGCAACCACAGCACTTACAATTCCAGCTATTGCTCCCTGAGAAGCTGAAAAAAGAGGTTTGTATACGTTTTTCAGAATCGAAAGCAATGTCAAACTTGTATTGTCTCAAAGTAAACCCTGTGAACACTTCCAAAAACAAAAAAACAACCCCAACTGAAATTATTACATGAAACTGTAGTAATCAACTCATTCTGTCTTTGTGAATAATGAAAAGTGAATCCTCTAATTTTATAACCATTGATTTCTTTGCAATGCCTGTTGTTAAACAACTTAAGCGTGCTTGTCTTAAGTTCCACTAATTAAAAAAGCTACCCTTTCATAGCCAAATCTAAGTTGTATGCATGCAATCACTGCACCAGCATCGCTGAGACCTTAAGACTTTTGAATCATTTGCAACATAGAGATTTTAAAGAATTATGAAAGCAGAGCTTGAAAGTAAGAATTCGAGATTCACAAAAGTTAAGCTGAAACCCACTATCAGCAGTGACCATTCTAGCAGAATATTAGCAATACAGAAAAACCCAGAAAAAAAGCTTCAGACATGCAGACACCATCATACACATAAATTTATGCATTTACCCTCAGCTGCTTCACCATTATTTAGACTTGGTCCCTTTCGTTCTGTAAAAATGAATAAAAGGTTTAGATTTTACATGTCTAAAGAACAGTCATATCATAATTGACAACCTTTTTGTGAATTACTCATGCAAAATTACAAGCTATCTATTATATCCATACAGTGCTAAGCTCTCTGACACTCCAACATTTTATTTTCAAAGCACAGGTCATGGTGATGCCAACTTCAGCCTTGGGTGCTCGGCACTTCTACAAAATGAGCACAGCACACCTGTGAAATCTGGTTTAATCAACTTGCCCACCACCACAGAATACTCAGTGGAGAGGAACAGCATATAATTTCAGGGTAGCATTCAACCGTATTTCCATGGAACCAACTATCTTTTCCTAAAATCCCAGCCTCATTTACTAAATATTTTTGCAATTCTCTTAGCAAACGAGACAGAAGTTCTGTAAATACTATCCTTATTTGGCACTATGCAACTTGCACCACTGAAGCAGGAACCTGTGCAGATGAAAACACCACACAAGTCTCAGCAGATGCTTCTTGCCCCTGCCAGTTTTCAAGTTACTGCCCCAAAGGAACCTTGGAAGGTGAAACCTTCCCAAAGTATCAGCATCAGTAATCTCTGTCTGGGACAACTCTCTGAAGAAGTTAGTAACCAGCAGCACATCTCAACATCGTATCAGATATTTAACCTAACTCTGACCTGGAAACAGTAAAGTTGCAGTAATGCACACAGGGATGACTAACCCCATCCTAATGATGACCATTACTGCAGCTTGGTCCCAATGACTGTGGGACCGATGACAGGGACCAATGGTCACCTCTGTACTGAGCTGCGCCGTAACAATTAGACATGGCGGATTACTCAAAACAAGTTTGGTTTTTATACTGCTCAGAGTAGATATAACCTACATCACTTGAAAGTCTAAGGATCAACTCATCCTGTGGGACAGATGAAATCTTTGAGAACACAAGGTGGACCCTCTTCTGGCCCACCCCAGGGCTTCCTAACCACAAGAACTAAAAGAAACTGAGAGTATGTGACAGAAGATCTGACAATAACACCTGGGTGCCTTTAAGAACTATATTTGTGGTGAATTTCGAAATAAGTACCACATCTACATCTCAGTTTTACAACCCATCTTTCTTAGCATAAGAGTGAAAATCATTGAAGGTTCCTAGACCAGTTTTACCTCTTAATTATGTGGGGGTTTTTGACAGAGACAAAACATGTTGCTTTTGAACAGGAAGGTATACTCTTAAGTTTCAGATACCAGAACCAAAGGTGTTACAAGTTAGACCGTGTTAACCAGCTTGTGAGCAAGCTTTTGTCAAAAGCTCAGGTAGCCATAGGATCAGTATGAAGCACAACCTACTGTCTTACCATTGCTGCCACTACCATCGCCTCCTCCTTTTGGTAAACTGCCATCGTATAGATCTGAATCATCAAGGTTGCCTATGAAAAATAAAAATAATATTATCTTATATATTTTAAGTTCAGTGAAAAGACACCCCCAAGCACATAATGACATGGAAGTTTTCTCTAGATCATTCAGCTGAGTTCGTGGTGGTTTTAGGCTCAGTGTCATAGTCACAACATGTTCATGTTTCCAAAGCCCTCCCAATCTCAAGTCCCTTCAGCTCGGCACTATAGAGTTTGACAGCAGCACCGCTGCCTCTGGACGTCCTGAACAACTGAGAGAACTCAGTGTCCAAGAGCAGGTAGTACTGCACAAGTCATAGACTAAGCAAGCAAGAAGCCCTGTAAGCTACTTAAGTGGAACAGCCCAAATCTCACTATCCTGTTAAAGCAGAGAAAGGACATGGACAGGAAAGGACCATTTCTTTTCAAGCCTGCAGCTGTGAATGTTTCTTCAGAGTTGGGTTTCTAAGTCACAACCAATCTTTCGAACCTGTACAACACAGTAGCTAGAGGGGAGGGGAAAAAAAAAAAGTTCAACATGCCACAGTCCAGTGGCTGCAGTATTTGCCTGACAATGGGAAGATCCAAATGTAATTCCCTCCTCTGATTTATTGCAGGACATTGAACCAGTCCCTCTCCATTTTCATTGGACCCTACCTCATGGGGCTCGAGTCCTCCTCCTCCTTCCCTCTGCTGCCAAATGAATCTTTAGTTTATGCAAAGCAAATCTGTTTCAAACAGCACAACTAAAAGCACTGCATCAGAGGATGTTTTAGTTGGGTGGCAAAAGCAGTGTACTGAGGTTTGCAAGACCTGAATTCAAGTATCTGCTGCAAATCAGGCAGGAGAAGGAACAAGAACCAGGGCTTGCATTTCAGGTAAGGACTCTTTACCACCATATTCCTGGATAATGGCATCATCACAGCTGCACCCATCTGAATCTGTTTTATTCTGAGTTAGGCAAAGACAGAGAAGACCTCTAAAGCACAACAGGCAGGGAAGGACATGTATTTTAAGTCTACCTTTCAAACACAACAGAATTGTATTTCTTAACTGGGGCCTTTAAAAAAAGAACTAAACACCCCCCCCCCAAAAAAAAAAAAAAAAACCAACCCTTTTAATTTTGAGCTTTACCTTTAATTTAGATGCTTTAAGAATACAGTTCACAGGTAGTTCCCAATGACTTTTTAGCATGACTAGCACGGATTCAGTTTGTAAAGATGAAAGGACTCAATCCAATACACAGGTGCTCCACCACAGGCAGCCAAGAACAGCATTGCCCCAAGCACACACACTCTGTCCCATCCTTCCTCCTCCCCACACCATCACGCTTTTAAGTGAAAGGAAAGTGACTCGACACGTTTGTTATGGAATTTCAAGACTGCTGCAAAGCTTATTTGCAAGACAATTTTTCCTCAATCCTCTGTGTTTATCCAGTGCAACATTTGACATACATAGCAGCCAATTAACAAGGTGTAATTATTGTAAGTTTAACTGAAACAGTAAAACCATGTCTCGATTCAGGAGTTTGTGCTAGAAGCCTTACCAGTGTCTTTAGGATGTGCAGGTGGACCTTGCTTGGGGTTATCTACACACAAAAGAGAGATTTAGAAAAAAAAAAAAAGGTGGTTAAGAGATCAAAAGCAGACTACAGTACAGTAACTTTGAAAGGGACTAGGAAAGATTAACAAATACTTTTCTACTGTTCAGAAATTCCTGTTAGGTCAGTCTTACCAGTGTCTCTGGGATTCGCAGGCGGACCTGGCTTGGGGTCATCTGTAGACAAATAAGAATAAAGTGACCAAAGTTACTAATGTAAAGAGACCAAAAGCAGAGCATATAGTGACCTTGAAAGACTATCTTCCCTGTGTCATTTTCCTTTCCTTTCATTAGCTAATGCTGTATTTGTTTGGTTATTTTAGGTTAAACACTGTACTTTAATGCAATTAACAGTGTTTCTGCTACATTAGCCTGTATATCAGGCCCTTGCTATAACTGAACTATACAGAAGAACTCGTTAAGTGTTATGCAGCATTTTAGTTTGCTCATCTGATTTCAAATGCTGAACTTTTCTACCAGGTACAGGTTACTTGGCTGTTTCCTCTTTTAAAACTAACAGATTTTAACCAATAATAAAGGTTGGTACCTCAATTAAAAAAAAAAAAAAGATTAGATACACACGATGGAACTAGAAATATGGTCCCCACAATGACACTTCATTTAGATTGCCACAAAATAGGAGAATAAGAGATCTTAGCAATTTTCTCTGTACCATTTGGTCACAGTCTTTGTTGCCCACATCAAATTAACACACCAGCAGTGGTTTTCTAAAACTGTGTTTTCACCAACAGCTGAACCAATCCAGCGGCGCATTTCTTCTCTATGCTACTTCTCCTCGATGTTGCATGGTCTTGCCTCCTCCCAGCTCTAGCACAAGTCAGATCAGGTCTCCTTAGGCTCTCTGTATATTCCAAGTAAAGAGGCAGGCACCTCCAGAGCACAGTTCTAAGGCCCCAACTTAGGCTTGCCATCCTATAAAGGATCCTCCCTCTTCACTTAACTGAACCATCTGATTCATTCAGCCAACCGTTTCTCGATTAGCCAACTCTGATTTCAAAAATGTCAGCAGTTGGAAACAGACTGCTTTAAGAGAGATAAAACTTCAAAGGGCTAAATCAAACAGAGCAGCAAACAGTGCTACTGTCCTACAACTGTATGTCCTGTGTTAGGAAAGCCATCTATATTCAACAGGTCTAGTGATGGTACTTGAAAAGCTACTGTGCATTATCTGCCTAACTGGATGCACCTTCTACTGGCCGAGTGAAAACAATACTGCAATTTCTACTGCTGCCCACACTGCAGAGCTGAAGCGTGTTAGAAACTACCTTCCCTCATATTATTTCAAACAGATTAATGTTTCCTTGTGCTACTAAAATTACTTCCTGGAAAGGAAGAGAGTACTTCAGATTTAAAAACTACTTCTGTAAGTAATAGTTTATGGAGTTAGTGCCATCTAGTGAAGACACAGCAATGAAACAAGTAGGACTTGGCTAAGAAATGAGTGAAATACATACAGGTTTTCTGATCCAGTCCCTTAAAAATGAAGATAAATAAACATAACTAGACTGCAATTATTTTTATCTGCAGTCTGTTACCTTAATCAACTCAGTGCCCTTATTACATTTAGGTAATAAAGGATGGATAGACGTTGCACCAAGTACCTCTGAGCAGTATCCAGGAAAACATGATACTTACCAGGCTGAAGAGCGTGTTCCAAGCTGAATTCATCTACAAAGAAAGAAGGGACGTTTTAAATGTAATGCAAAAACTGAACTAGTTTTAGACTATTTTTACACAAAACGCACCTCACGATGTTTTCACCAAGAATACAATGGCATGTTCATTCAACAGTGGCCCATGGAAGAGCACCAGAGTTACCAGGCATTATGTGCCAAACTACATGCTGTGAACACGCCACATGCCAAGGGCCAGCTCAAGGTGAGCAAGCTCAAAACATGCAGATTGAAAGCCAACAGAAGGGATTCTCACAGGGTCTTTAAGCTTGTGAAATCACAAAGTAAATTTGTGAAAGCACTAGCAGAAGACTCCAAAATGCAGAAATCATTTTGCTATTAGGGAACTGCTTTCTTTTATAGAAATATCACAACTCTGTGTGCCACTAAATTTAAAAATTCAGGCTCTCAAATGAGTATGTACAACTACACTTGACTTCATAGTAAAAGGCATTACAAGCCAATTAGATCTCACCGGAATCCGATGATGGTGGCTTCCGAGATGGAAGAGGCTTCTTTGTAGTTTCTGTCAGGGATGGTTAGAAAAAAAAAGTTTAAATATTATTTAATACACTGTTCAGAAGGTACATGAAGGACAAATGAAAGGCACAAGATCAAGTCTATACAGCAAGACATTCTCCCCTTAAGAGGAATCCCTGAGTGTTCCCAAAGACAAATTTCAGTTCTATGTGGTCAACACTGACATACCCATAGCTGAATTGTTCCACTGAGGTTTAAACAAACCATATGTGGGCAATGTGTCATACTTGGTCATGCAGTGATACTCGGAAACAAACAAGTCAAAAGAGCAGCCACTATTTTCCCACCTACCTCCCAAAATTTGCAAGAGTGTAATAATTACCAAATGCATCTTGTAAGTTGAAGTCATCAAAATTGCCTGTAGAAGATGAAAGCAACGGTAAGAACACTGTTTTTTCTTACTCAAACCCAACACTTATTACAGTCATAAACATATCTTTGATCTATCTTGAGGTATGTTTTCTGCTTCCTGCATCAGACTAGAATAATATTTTGAGTCAGGGCTGAAGACAGACATTCTTCTCTATTTCTCCAGACCACCATCCACACATCTCTTCAGCACGAAAAGGAACAGCACTAAAAATTGTCTCTATAGAAAGGGCCAGAACATATATTCCTACAGTCAATATAATGCACTTTATTCTTGCCACTGCTATTGCATGCTTTCTTAGTACCATCCACAGCACATTCTTTCCCAGCCTTCTTTCCACTGAAACACAAAATGAGCAGGAGCATAGCCCCAATTCACAAGAATTTACAAGATTCAAGTGTGAAGAAGAGCCTTGGAGCACAAAGGCTGGTATAAAAGTTATATGATCGGGTAATGGATTTAATACCTTGGCATTAAAACTTAATTTTCATGGGTTTATAGGACCTACCTTTTTTATAGGACTACCCTAACAAAGGTTAACAGTATGAAGGTGGTTAAGTTATTAGCACAGATGATCTTGAGCAGTCTCTTCCATTTCCTAAAAGACCTCTAAATGCAGCTGTCACCACTATGAGCTCTCCACTCTAGGTAGATTAAGTTTCATTTTCAGCCCTTAGGCTGTATTTCTTTTTGCTTCTTGCTATTCTCTCTTGCTGTATTAGGTCAGTTGCTAGAGCTACTGCCGCTTACCCAGCCAACTGCAAACACACTAGCTCAATACATTCATGATACAAACTGGTTTCACAGCATGAATATAGTAGTGTGATCTCAGCAGAGGCTTGTGAGATAAATGGACAGCTATAACAACTGCTTGGGATATTTCTGATAGTTCATCATTCCTACTGTCACTGAAGCATGGAAAAAGAAAAAGGCGTGAAAGTAGATACCAGCTATTCAAGAAAAAGACATCCAAATATACTGCTCCAGCCCCAAAGAAGCTGGTAGACTTTTTCTACCTACTGAGTATCAAGCCAGCCCGAGCAGAACTTAATTCCAGCCAGAGCTACCTTAATTCAGAAGATACATGCATAAAGCATTGATGTGTCTGGCTTTTCCTCCAAGAATGTAGCTACAGAAGAGGAATCAGAACTGGCTACTGCAAACTCTGAAGAGAGGAATAAAAAACAAACATCAAAAATCAAACCACAAGCAGAACATTCCTTCTGCTTGCATGACAGGCCAAGTTAAGACAAGGACAATTCATGAATCTAGTACCAGGAATGACAGATGCTTATATACTTGGTGACATCTTTCATCTCAGCTGAGGTCAAAATTGAAATCTCTTTTCCATCTCAGATAACTGCACTAATAATGCCTTTTTTTTTTTTTCAGAGAAGAAATGAAACTAAGATACGTTTTATTTTTTTAATATGGAAGCAAGGAATGACAACCGGTGTAAAAAAATCAAAGGCAAGTTTGCAGTTTCCTGAAAACATCCTTCAAGCTAGTCTTCAGTCTGGCCAACTGAACTGCTACAGCAGAAACTGAAATCTGAAGTCTAAGCAGCGATTCCCATACTATAACATTTGCACTGAGTACCACCTTGCTCACAGACAAATAGGGAGGTAGCACTGCCTGGTCAGTGACAAGCCCCTTCATGGAAACAGAGGCAATTCATGGCTTTATTGTGGTCCACAAGCAAAGTGCATTTAGAACCTCCTGGATAAAGTCATTAGGTATAGATCTTGCATAGAAAGCAAGAAGATATTTTACTTGCTGCTCTTCGCTCCAGGCGGAGACCATAAGCTCTTTTGGATACTTAGCTCATGAAAAACTGTTTCACAGAATGCAAAATATTTGCAAGTTGTTTATCTGAAGCCTACATCATCTTGCAATACAATCTTAAAAACCTCAGTAACATGAGCAGTTGCTAAGACCCAAATCTCAGTTACCTCTGAAGTTACCCCTTTGTTTAGACTGCACCAAGAAACCTCCATATTAACAGGCAAGAAAGGTCAAAACACTCAAGATAAATTTAAACAGGTATTTGCATAGTTGTTCCTCAAACTTGAATTCTGATTTGTTTGTTTTGTCAAGTACGTACGTCTCTCAGGCTACAGTCCTCCAAGGAGGAATGCTCAGATATTTGCTAGTCTAACTCTAAGAAGGCAGGCAGAAGGATCTGTTGAAGATGCATGCTCCTCAAAACACTCTACCAGAGTAGCAACCAGAGGATGGACCACCACCATCTGTTAACACTATCTGTCTTGAGGTTAAAGACATATCACTAAGTCAATGAATGTTACATTGGTGGGTGTATTTCAAGAGCACTATTTCTTTTTAGAAGGAGCGGCAGAGGGAAAAACAAGCATATATACTCAACATTGCACATATGCTTTGGTGCAGCTGAAGTTTTACCTGGAGCAGAAAAGAGGCTATTTGAAGAGTCTCCTGCTGCCACCATGAAACTTAGTCCAAGAACTCTGAGGTGTTCCAGCTGCAGTGGTTTCCCTCAAGAGGAGGAAACCAGTATAAAAGAGTGTGCATTCAGCGACATTGCTATTTTAAGGGATTGTTTTCACACATGATCTTCATGGAGAAATAATTTAAGATGAGACCGCTGACTGCCAATCTCACATAAGACATGCTTTGAGAGAGCGATAAACAAATCTGAGTTAATAAAAGAAAAAAAAAATCATTCTATATTGACTGGAATTATTCAATATTCTGCAATGACAATTCTGTTTTCCAAGCATGCAGCAAGATGTCAGGCTCTTCAAACACATTACTTTAGCTCAATAATGGTAGCAGAAAATGTCAAAATCTAGTTATGAAACTCACTACAATAATATGCACTCTGAAGTGCTACCAGTCTCCTTTTCCAGCAAAGACTGGTTGTTTCTCCACTGTTCATGACAAACCTTCGTAAGTCTTTAAAGCACTTGCTTGTACAACTGTACTTGCTCAGCTTTTAGTATGGGTAGGTCCAACTAAACTAGAAGTTCAATTACTTAGCCTGAAAGGAGAGGCTCAGAACCAGGGATTCAGCTGGTTCCAGGGAAGAAACAATCAGACAACAGAGATAAAGCTACAGAACTAGAACAAAGGTAGTAGCAGGATCCAAGAAGAAAAAGTCAGCAAGAATGTGCTGCACTCCCTACAGGTTTAAGGAGCACCCAGAGTAACTGAGCTAGGAGCATTTTCTTAGTCTAAGCAAAGATAATTGCAAATAAAGCAGATGATATATTGTGTCTAAAGCACAATATAGCAGGTATTTCTAGCTCCTACGGGCACAAGCAGATTGAAGAATGTTTTAGAAGTGCCTATGCTATTTTCCTTCCATGTCCATAGCTCAAGAGACAGATCTTCAGCAGGCTGTCCCCAGTAACCTCCATAGTTTGTCTCAGATGGGGAAAAAACAGCAGGTAAAACAGAAGAGCAAACATAAGCTTTTGAAAAGCTGATGAGCTAAAGGGTATTCAAGAGAGCTAAGTAACTACGCAAATAGGAGTAGTCTGCAAAGACCCATCACCACCCTCGGACACTTACTGCTACGGTATTAGATTAGTCATATTTACTACATTCCACTGCAGAAACGGACACAAGCTTTGGAAAGTTCCTCCGTTAGTCATGTGTATGGCAACACACCAAAAAAGGAAACTTGTGATGAATCACCACAAACATACCTTTCTGACTTGAGCAGACTGCTTGAATTTTGTTTTTCTGAAAATGCTGATGCGCTCCTCCTTCCCTCCCTCCCCAGCACACCACAGGGTGCCAACAGAGCCTGCATGCTGCAGCTGGTCTTCCAGTTGTAGGCCTACGGACCAGGTGATAGTGGTCAGCTTGTCCCTGTCCCACCACTAGACGTCACCTGCCACTCCATCAGTGGCTGACTAAGTTAGAATCATGGAATATCTTGAGTTGGAAGGGACCCATAAGGATCATCGTGTCCAACTCCCTGCTCCTCGCAGGACTACCTAAAACTAAACCATATGACTAAGAGTGTCGTCCAGATGCTTCTTGAACTCTGAGAGGCTTGGTGCCGTGACAACTTCCCTGGGGAGCCTGTTCTCGTGACTGTCCACTCTCTCAGTGAAGAACCTTTTCCTAAAGTTCAATCTGAACTTCCCCCTACACAGCTTCATACCATTTCCTCGTGTCCTATCACTGGTCACCAGTGATCAGCACCTCCCCCTCCACTGCCCCCCTTGAGGAAGTTGTAGACTGCGATGAGGTCACCTATCAGCCTTCTCTAAGCTGAAGAAACAAGTCCCCAGCCACTCCTCGTAAGTCTTGCCCTCAAGGCCTTTCACAATCTTAGTCGCCCTCCTCTGGACACACACTAATAGTTTCACAGAATCACAGAATCATTTAGGTTGGCAAGACCCTTAAGATCTTCGAGTCCAACCATTTGATGTCTTTATATTGAGGTGCCCAAAACTGCACACAGTGCTTGAGGTGGGGCTGCACCAGTGTAGTGTAGAGTGGGACAATCACCTCCCTCAACTGGCTAGCTGTGCTGTGCTAGATGCATCCCAGGACACAGTTGGCCCTTCTGGCTGCCAAGGCACACTGTTGACTCATGTTCAACTTGCCATCAACCCAACCCCCCAGGTCTCTTTCCGTGGGGCTGCTCTCCAGCCTCTTGTCCCCCAGTTTGTATGTATAACCAGGATTATCCCATTCCAGGTGCAGAATCCAGCACTTGCTCTTGTTAAATTTCATGCTGTTGGTGATTGCCCAACTTGGGTCAGTCCTGCTGCCTAGCCACTCATTTTTATGAACTGCAAAAATCTTGAGCTCAAAGAGGCCTCTCATCTCTGTAGAGTTTACATGAGGTTTGGCAGCCCTCTTGGGGGACGAGGATGCTGGTAGCCACAAGGGCAGAAACTGTTGGGCAAGCAGGCGAAAAGCAGCTTCTCCCAACTTCCAGCAGGGAAACTGGATTTTTTACTCCTGTGTCTTGTGCTCCTTCCCCTTTGGGGACTGAAAACACGAGGAGTAGAAATATTCAACACCTACCCATAACAGAAGCTACAGAAAATACAGGAAGGCCAACACATTGAAACTTGTTCATGAAACACTTTAAATAACAGAGCAAAGCCATCACATCCCTTACAATTGCTTTTTAAGCTTACCAGCACTTGATTCCAGTCCAGGGTTTGCCCCACCAGCATTAGTTATCTACAATAAAAGACTTCTACTGCTCAGCTCATGTTGTGACAGTTATTTTCCAACATGTCCTAAGCAGGCAAAACCAAGAGGAGCAATTTAATAACAAAAAACCTGGGAGAAAGGTGTCTTGGTTCTCCATACCTTGCGGTAAGAACTGCCTTTCTAAGGTTTTAAATGGAGAACGTGGAACATGAAAACCACTCGCTGCGGGTAGAAGAACATACTTAAAACTGTATTCCTCCTCTCAGCCAGGGCAGAGGTTTGCAGGCAAGATCCCTCTGCATCAGGCAACGCAGATGGGATGTTCACTCCCACTGCCAAGCAGCAGTTTATAATTAGCCCTGCCTGGAGTCTCATGAAATTAAATCCCACACAGTTGGTTTCAAACCCTGTTCCTCCTACAAGTACCCACCTATCGATGCTGCTTTTCAAGTTGTTTCTCTGCAGAGCAAGAGAAAACAAAAAGCTTTGCATAAACTTCTGTTTAGAAGAATGAAGCCCCTTCCTACCTAAAACAAATATGGTCCAAAGACAAATAACAACTGTAAATCAGCCAAAACACAAAGATAATCGTTTACATCTGGGGAGTGTCTGCTTTCTGCACATCTGGAGTGTTCACTAATGTATCTGATGGGACTAAAGTCAGCTAAGCCTCTGCTGCAACCAATAAAAAGATTTATTTCCCCTTCAAAAAGATGCATAAGACTACTCTAATAACTATCATATTTAATTTTTGTACAGTGATTCAAAAGTTACTTCCCTGAAAAGTTACTTTATTTGCACCAGTCTTGAAAATACAGTACAGAGAAAGTTAGGCAATTATGTGGCCTAATCTTTTTCTGATCTGACTGCTGGAAAACAGTTTTTAGACTAATCTGTGATTTATTGTAATATTTGAATTACTAAGCATTCCTTCCATCCAAAAATGACAACTTAATATTTTTAAAAAGTCTACAAGGTCACACTTTGACTCAAAACTATTTACTTAAATAACTGTAGTCATGTGAGGGCTTTTTAACAGAATATGGTAAAATAAGCCATTTACTGGGGACGAAAAACCCGTATTTTGAAGCACAGTTTGGGGAATTTTGCTTGTCTAAAAGTTTCCCATGCACTAGGCAACTTTTGTTGCCCCTTTGAGCTGTACAAAGTAGGAAAATACAATGGCGCTCTAAACATTAGCTAGAAGCAGAGTTTTCCGGGGAGGATTTGATATAGGAATAAGAGAACAGAATAAATAGCTCTAAATCAGCATCAAGCACACAGAAGAACCGAGTCAACCACGAAGCTAGAGAATTAACACAATGGCAACAGTCCTGCCAAACGCTGAGCTGCTTATCCAGAAACAAGAAGGGGTAAAAGAGAACTACGCAATAGTTACAAAATGTCTAAGAACTCCTGTGTCCCTTCAATCAAGTAGTGAAGACAAAAGCAAGTATTTGGCATCTTAATCACAACGTGCGCAGTGACAAGTCGTCTACCACAGTCTGGTTGTTTTCTTACAATCTGTAATTCTGCACATCCATAACCGATTTGACTACTTTCCCTCCAAGCAACGGTTTGGATGCTTAGTGATTCTCTTCTGGTTACAACCCTTGGTGGCAAACCAACATCAAACATCAGCTGGCAGAGCCACAGGTCCCAGATCTCCTCCTTAAGCTTAAAAGAGCTTCCAAAGCACTGTCACTAACAGCAGCTTGGAAAGAGCTAAAGTATTTTCCGTGCTTCGGGGAAAGTTGTTTCTTGCAGGGAGTACCTCCCCCACATATTCAAAATATTCAAAACCCGGTTGACCACAGTCCCAGGCAACCTGCAGTAGCTGACCCTGCTGGAGCAGGGGGTGGGACTGGAAGGTCTCCAGAGGTGTCCTCCAGCCTCAGCACCCTGTGATTCTGTGACTTGGGCCAATTCTAGTGACTGGACTAAATTCCTAGAGCTACAAAACTCGTAACTACAAATAAAATAAATCACTCTTGTCCCTCTGCAATTCTTTTTACAGATGAGAACTGAAATACATTGCTCCATCTCATGAAGTTTTAAGCGGAAACCTAAGCTACACTAACAAATGCTGCTAGAAGAACATTTGGGTGACAGAAGCACAGCACTTGCATCAAGAAATGACAAGATTAAGTTTCGGGGGCACTGGGATAGGAAGCAGAAAGAGAGGAAAAGGGTTTTGCAAAATATAATAAAGGTGCTGAATCCAGATGGCAACAAATAAAAAGATATTGGAGATATTTAGTTGATTTTCACTCATTTCTTCTTACCTGTAACTTCAGGAGGGCCTGACCACGCTTCAGGACTGCAAATGCCATATACTATCCTTATTGCTATTTCACCTAAGTACTTGGCCTTACCAAGCATAAAGGCATTACTAAAATTAGTGAGTGTTTTCATAAAGTATTTTCTAGAAAGCAAATACTAAGTTTCCTTTTGTGTAAATTCAGGGACTAAGGCAAAATACAACAGGCAGACAGAAGCAAAGTCTTGTCTGCATTCATGTGCAGCATACCCTTGACGAAGGCTGCAGGTGCTTGATTAAATATTGCCTAGCCTTACGTTATTTAAAGCCTGCACGTTGGTACTTGTACCTGCAAGTGCTAGGCACGCTGAAATTTTCAACCTTCTAGGTAACTGGTCTTGAGTACCTCTTTACTAGCCCTAAACCACAGAGGCGTCACTCTGTGCATTAAGCATGAAGTTACTTGATGTCAGCAACACCGGTCCCCAGCTGTGCAGTATCACCCCACCCCTGGGGCCACCACTGCCACTGCTTTCTCCTGCTTCAACACAGCACCTATGGAAGCCAGCCCTGCCCTTCTGCCCCTGGGGCAGGCAAGGAGCACCTCCTGCCCCTCTTCCCAGGTCTCAGGTGCCAGCACAATCACTGTTCCCCCAGGGAGGCTCATGAAGCAGGCACAACGGGCCGAGACACCTCTGCTCTCCATCATTGCCTCTTCAGAAACCTGTGCCAGGGCTGGGCCAGGAGCTCTGAAGCAGTCTTAGGAAACCCCATTCTCAAATCTCACCAAGATCAAGCGGCACAATGCACCTATTTCGCATTCGGCCACTTTTGAAATTCTCTCTTGGTATAAGAAATGTCAGTAGTTATTTCTTATAAGCCTAAGAAACCAAAATCCTTTAAGTACATGTTGCTCATAGTCTACAGCTTCAAAGTTTAAGCTGCTCAACAGACAGGACCTGAAGCTTTCACAAAGCTGACAAGCCTTGCAGCTACTCAGGGGCTGGTGCCATTGGCGGAATTTTGGCTTTTTTGATCATGGGGAGGTTTACACGGCACCGGGTCTGCTGGCAACAGATGGAGTCCAGCTGTCTCACAGGGGGAAAAGGATTCTCGCTCATGAATTGGCGGAGCTCATTGAGAGGACTTTAAACTACGTTCGAAGGGGGAAGGGGATAAAACCAGGCTCACTAGAAATGAGCCTAGGGGTGGCATGCCGATGCTGGGGGCGAAATCGATAGCCCAGCTCAAGTGCATCTACACCAATGCACGCAGCATGGGC